TCTCTAAAAGAAAGAGTGTATTGTACATATAATACTTTTTAAAATGAAACTTTTGTAAATCATATGTGACATGTTTGCGAGTTGGATAGGGTGTGCTCTCTATAATAACATCAAAGTTCGTATTTGTCTCTCAGAATAATAGAATGGATGATTCTCAAAATTTGCAAAATACTTCTTTGTATGAAGCAAGAAAAACAAGCAGTATCAATCGTTCTGACAGACTTAATTCATTCCATGTTTTCTTTTGTTTGATTTCCGATTCAATCCCTCTCTTCTACGTTACATTTGTGTTTTTTCAATAATTTCAATTGGAATCCTCTCTCTACCATTGTGTATAATTTCCATTAGATTTCTCTATGGTCAGTCGTATCCTGTTCGCCTGCAGCATCATTTCCATTTTGAATTGATAGCGCATGTATTAGATATGTAGCGTTTCTATACCTTAGATGTTGCAGCTTCAGCTACAATGTTCCACACTGAAGTGTGGATGTGAGTGTTAGTTTTATATTCTATCACACCCATACCCATCCTCACACCCCACGTCCACATCCATACAGACATCCACCCAGCCTCGTATGAATCACACTCGTACCCGCTGAGTGGGTGTAGAAATTTATGTGGGTGTGATAAAATATAACACAAACACCTATACCCTCAGGAAACGGCTTATGTGTCTAGGTGGACCGATATCGATAAAAGTTTTTCAAATTAAACTACATAGATTTGTATTTCACACTAGGATGTGGCTGTGGGGTGTGGGTGTGTGGTGTAGGTGTGGGGTGTGGGTGTGGGTGTGTGGTGTGGGTGTGTGTGTGTGTATCACGCTAGGAATAAACTGATACTCACACTCACATACCCACATCCACACCCCACACGCACACTTATACCCACACTCATACCCACACCCCACATCCACCCGCACCCACACCCACACCCACACCCACACCCTAATCATTAACTACCCATTTTCAACGAAAATCCATATTACATTTGGAATCAGCATCGAAAACGGAGTCAGACAATATATATTCCGTTAAAAATATTTTTTTTGACAAATTTCAACCGAGGAGGACCTCAGGGGAAAACTGGGTGTGGATATGGGTGTTATGTATGATTCAAAGATATACTGACACCCCCACCCCACACCCACGTTTGCACAAACAGAAAAAAATCTTATTTTTTATCAAATCTATAGTAAAAATCAAAAAGCCTCTTTGTATATAAGATCTTTAGGTACTATCTTATTAATACTCAATCACATCACATTAAAATTTATTTTCTTACATTTTTATAATTCATATTCTGGAAATTTTTCCGCTAACAAACATTAGATTGGTCTCTTTGGATTGCTTCATGGATAGTGCAAACGTTTTGCCTTAATTTTATTTTCATTTTCATACTGCATACAAATATGGGAGGCACTTTATTTTTTTCCATTAAAAAGAGAATACTCTAAAATACATATTTATATATTTTGTCTTATTGTTTCTTTTGTTTTACACGAAAAAATAAAATTATAGAGAAACACCACGATTACGTTTCAACATTCTAATGTATGCTTCGAAAAAATGAATTCCTTAGTGTTTTGGACATTATTTTTTTTATTTCAACTTTCTGAATTAATTTTTTTTTTGAAAAGTGTTCTGTGAAATTCTTTATAAGATGGCATGATTATCTGAACAAAAATATGTTTTATTGATTAAACATTCATCTGAAAGAATGTATCAATACTTTTGAAAATAGCTTTTTTTGATTCTTCACAATGCTATCACTTGTTTTAGCAGAACAAATTTCTATAAGATTTGATGATAGTTTATCTATTGTATTAGTTTATCATAGTTTTAGAACATGTTAGACTTCTTCATTTTCGACCTGATTGACAAAGCATATGGATTATCATCAAATCTTAAGGAAATTCGTTCTGCTTAATCAAATCACAGTATTGTGAAGAATCAAAAAAGGCTATTTTCAAAAGCATTGAGACATTTTTCAGATGAATGTTTAATCAACAAAACATATTTTTGTTCAGATAATCATGCCATCTTATAGAGAATTTCATAGAACACTGTTCGATAAAAGAATTAATCCAGAAAATTGAAATAAAAAAAATAATGTCTAAAATAGTGAGAAGTTCGTTTCTTCGAAGTATACATCAGAAAGTTGAAACATAATCGTAGTGTTTGTTTCTCTTTAATTTTATTTTTTCGTTTAAAACAAAAGAAGCAATAAGACAAAATACACAAATATGTATTTTCGAGTATTCTCTTTCGAATGGAAAAAAATAAAGTGTCTCTCATATTTGTATGCAGCATGAAAATGAAAATAAAATTAATGCAGAACTTTTGCGCGACTCGTTATATCGAAAATTGAAAATAGAAGAACAGTGTCATAGTATCATTTTTTGTGAAATACGATCTGAAAAGGAGTGTTGAAGTATTTAGGGGTAAAAATTTGGACCTCCCCTCCCCCCACAGGCCGTGACAGACAGGTCTCTGGGCCCATCACAGACCGTGACAGACAGGGCTTTGAACTCATCACAGACCGTGACAGACAGGTCTCTGGACTCATGACAGACCGCGGCAGACAGGTTATCGATCCATGACAAACCATGGCAAACAGGTTTTGGACTGGCGAGAGATAAGACTCAGGGATCATTATAGACTGTGGTAGAGAACTTCAAGGAAATATCAGATATGATGCATACCTAACATGTGATTAAAGCATATATGGAGTATTATACTTTTGAAAGTATATAATGTAAGGTAAGCCATTATGAAGAAATATACATCAGTATGCATAAAAAAAGAACAACTTTTAGAATATCGGCTATAGCAGCTACATCATCTTTCACATTTTTAATCCCGCAAGAAATTGCGCTAACAGCTTTTGCTAATAAAAAAAAATCGATTTTTTTCATAATAAAATGCAAATTATTATTCATCAAATCTTCTTTATTACAGATAGAGTTGTAAAATTAGAAGAAATTCTATAAATGCTTCATACTATGCACTAAAGCATATGTGCTATTAATACTACGACAAGAATAGAATTTTATTTATTTATTTTTTCATACAATACATTCATCATAAATAATAAAAATCACTACGGTTCAAATGGCTTCTCAAAATTTACAAATGAGTGATTGGTCAACAACAGAAACTTATCCGTCTCATCATCAAGGTTTGTCAAAAGGAACAAATGAGAGTAGAATCGTTTCGAATGATGCTTGGGTTGTCGATGCTAATCAACATCATTCAAATGATCAGAGCAACAAAAGGTAAGAAGAACTAACGATCAATACAGGTTCAACATACATCACATTGCCATATTTTTAGATGGATATTATCAAGCAAACTATCAGAATACTGTACATCATTATCACCATTCTTACATGGTCTAGTATTAGGTGTAGTCGTTGGTGGTTTAA